CCACTTCTATAAATCGAAAGGAGACTGCGACCACACCAGAGGCCACAACATCTTGGTCTTCATATCTTCACATGAGTATAGTTGAAGTTTTCATTAAATTTCACACTGCCTTGCTTTCCCATATTACTGATTTACTGGTAGTCTCGAAACTCTACTCATACATGACAAATAAAAGGTTCCTCACCTGTGGCCCATGAAAGACCTTGCCTCAACACACAAATGAAAGCCACGTTTCCACTCTAGCCCCACCCATGAAAGCGTCAAGATGTGGTGGGGATAAAGCAGGTATGCTCAAAGCGCATAGTTGAGAGTGTTTCGTGTCCACGCCAAGGATGATCCTGTGCACTTTAATCACCAAGGCAGCTAGCGCTTAGCCGGAATAGTTCGGCTTTAAAAGTAAACGAGATGCTTGATGGGTATGAAAGTGGGCTACTTTCGGGGACGTCTTAGACAATTTGCCAACGGAAAATAGCAAATATACGTTTTCTGCATCAAAAATCCCACAAAGAATGCGATATGACAAAATGCCTGACCTTCTTTGAAATTCACATCTGCTCTGTGACCCAACGGCGCTCGTGGCAATGTGGTCGAGTGGCTAACGTGTCAAGCTCCCATTCTGCACAGTCACGGTTCGAATCCCGCTGGAGGTGTTGATGAGAACAACTTTTGGGAAAACAAGGCAACGTGAAATTGAATGGAAACGTCAGCTCTACTCATGTCATTGTGGGAAAATTCTACCACCAGTCCTTTATCACCTTAAACGAAATTGGGTGAATTCATCTCATATTAAGAACCTTTTTAGTTCTATCTCAGAACCTACAAACAGAAGCGTAACTTTCTGCCATTAACACCTTCACATTATGAAGCAGAATTTCCTCCACTTGATACATCCTCGCCCATCCTGACAATTCCGCCCGTCAAACCTCATCTTCTCCATTATCATTCATCCTGCCTTTGACATGAGCCTGCGACACAACAGTCTCCACAACAGTGTTTTCTCAAGAGATTCACCGACACCCAGTTATCCTTTGTATGCAAAAGTAAATCTTTTTTTCGATTTCACACACCGTATTACTGCTATTCACAGACTTCTTCTTGATTTAAATTATTTTGCCTTCCAGCCCCTTCATTATGCATGTAGTCCGATGTGATTATAATAGCATACCACCTCATAAGCAGTCCTAATCTTTGGACTATGAAAAAAGCATTCCAAAGGAAGCATCCCTTTAGTTTTGTCTAAGCAAAGAAAGAAGACCTGCTTTGTATGGAAGTGAGTGTTTATATGAAATTTGCAAAATTCCGCATATCTTGTGCAAAGTCGTATGCAGCTTAAGCAAGATCGTGATTTGTGAAAATGCAAAAGTGTCACAACTTCCACGTGCATGCCAAGTAGTGTTGCATAGTGTATGAGAGGAAGCGAAGGAGGCTATGGGAAAAACACTTTAAAATGTAGTCACGAGATCATTTTTCCCTATAACTTTACCGCACTTATTTTTAAATTGAGTTGCATTGAAATATTTTCCACGACTTTATGTATCGAAGTCGCTTGAAAATAGGTAAATTTCAATAAAAAAATAACTCTAAATGAGTTCAACTCCTTAAGCACTCTCTCTATCCCGAATGTGCCTTGATGCATACGACTCGGTATCACATCGTGTTTATGCTATAATTCTGCTGTATGAGCCAAACATTCAAGCATAAGGATTGAAAGTGTTTTGTGAATAATGAAAAATATATTGCATTACTGTAGAAAGTATCTTTTCTCCCAAAAAAAATAATACAAAAATAACCAGAGCTGAGGAATAATTGTATTTTCAGTCAAATAACCATAGTGACCAAAGGCCCGCTAACGCACATAACCGAAAAAAGACATTATGTCTATTCCAACAGATACCGTCCAACAACCTTGGAGTTATATATGTTGATTGATCTCATTTACGCAACTTGGTCTTGTTGTCAAGGCGACTTAGTTAAACGCATCTTGTCCCAAGTCCCCGGACATAGTCGCTATCATAATTCCCAGCATCAGACCCTGGACTTGGTACATCATAGTGACAAATTTGTAGCTTGGTACGAAGAATTGAGAGACTCACGGATGATGTCGACTATCATGCCAGCGAAACGTCTGCGAATGTACCAGGTCCACGGTCTGATGTTGTGAGTTATGATAACTGCTATGGTAGGGGACTTTGGACAAGGTGCGTTTAACCAAGTCGCCATGACAACAAGACACACCATCTTTGTTTTCATATCTTGTAATTATAGTTTATGTAATAGAGTTAATAATTCTTGGGCCACTATTATGTTTTGTAATAATTAGTAACTTGATTTGACTGCAAAGCTTTTCCGCACTTATAATGGCATTTAGACTGGAGCTAGACTACGTCAGTCGACTTTTCTGGGCCAGTTTGCGGAGCAACCACATTTAGTGAAAGGAATGACTCAATTTTTTCAACTAATTTTATACTTTTTCATTTGTACCGGTTACTAGTAACTGACCTCTGGGCTCGAGCCGGCAACAGAATGGCTTCAAATGTGCATGCTGGCCTTTTGTAATACGCAAGCAAAGAGGAAGAATGGCTGCGACTCCTGGGCCATCGTTTGCCATAGTAACATTCATTTGTAATAGATGCAATCTTTCTTGCCTTTCCAATAGTATAGCATATATCATTTCCCAACTTACCGAGCGACCTATATTATGACTTTACACGCACAGGCACTCTCTTAAGAGGCAAGAGCATTTCTGCCGACTGGCATTACAGTTGGGCATGAGACAAAATAAATAATGTGGACTTTTTCAGCCCTCTTTTGCCCGGTTCAAGAGTCATTTATGACCAATATCATTTCAGTATAAGGTAAACATGCTGTCTTTGCGACGTTCTAACTAGCCGTAAGACGGTTAAGATTTACCAGACTAGAAGCTAACCTTCGGGCCAGAAGAAGCTATGCAAATAACACATACAGAGGACACAACGAGACGGAAGTACCGGCAACTTGTCAGCCACTGGATTGAATCGAATCATGCCAACTTGGTAATCCAATTCGTCAAACGGGTTGCTTTTATCCTTCCTGGTCGAACGGTACCAACTAAGCCGTTATCCCTGACCCTGGCGATAGGCCACAATGCAAAGGGTGTATGTAACCACCGAAAGATACTTCTTAAACATCCTCTTTGCCGTTGGTTGTACAGGCCTTATCCTCCTCTGCTTTACAACCAAACTGGGGGCGCTCAACGAAATGAGGCTGGAGAAGCTGCGCTACTCCACCATTGGGCAATGAGTGTACACCGAAATGGACACTTTTGTTTAGGCCAACTGGTGGCTGGAAAGTCATTCGATTCCCATTCCCAATTTCCTTTGCGGGTGGATATCCTTGAAGCATATTTCAATGTTAATGTTTGCGCGTTTGTCCATTGAAGCTGACAAAGGTTATGCGCACCACAGATTGGACATGTGCTAAATTTGGCTTGGCCAAATTTGCATGTAAATGAGCAGATTGTCTGTTTATGCAAAAGAGTGTGATTAATGTAAACAAAACGGAACAAACAAGTGTACAGGAAAGACTATGCCATTGTGAAAGAGGGGGCGCAAGTTTGGACAGAATCGTCGACACCTGAAGAGTACTCCAGACAGCCGCTTTAGTGGGTTGAATAAGATCCCTTTTTCGAATGTGTTGCATCTGCCATGTTCACTTTTGCGTCCCATTCAGATTTGTCTGCGCGATGGTGATTCTACCCGTAACGCAAGAAGGATGATGGAAATAAAGGCAGGCCAGCTGAGAAGCAGGTAGAGATCAAAGTGAATTCAATTGTAATATTTTGGCCAAACTGATAGGATTATATGAAAGTGAAAGAGGATATCCTTAAAAACGCTCCTACGATGTCCTTAAAAATTGACGAAACACATAAAAATGGTAATTGGAAGAAGTTTAAGAAATTGTCCATACAGAGGCAGAATCGATCTCATGTTTAAGGAAGAGGTTTTAGATACAAATAATTTCATCTCACTGAAATACTCAACCTTTAATTTACGTCAGTTTTGTTCAGTAAACTCAGGGATCTCAACTACTTGCAGGGGCATTTGCAATTAAAAACTGTCATCATATTAGATCGCTTAAGAATTCAAATGATTTGTGGTTGAATTTCTCACAATTAAATAATTAGAATGCCTCATGAAGCCACATAAATCCTTATGCGAGGCAATGTCAATTCGAATGCAATAGCGAAGTGAGGCTTTCCATTTATTCAATTGTTGTACCTCATTTTGAGCTACCTGAGGTGACTTGAAACGATGGAAGATATAATGCAATGTATCGTACTTAAGAAAATGCTAATACATTTGTTTCGCACGCAACAAGACCGCGGAAAAAGATGAGAACTTCTGCCATAGCAAAAATAGGATGTTTTTCTTCATAATTCCACATCGTCAAAGCAGAAAAGCCAACTATGCGAAAGTAGACTGAGGAAATTTAGCAGTCCTAGTCGGAGACGACTCAATAAACAATGAATTTTTCACTTTCGTGCAATCGCAGTTATTCACAAAATATCCCAACATGACAGTCAGGACAGGTGAAAGAAAGCAAATATGAGATGTATTCACCCAATTTAATTAAGGCGATGAAGGACTGACAGTAGAATTTTCCCACAATGGCATGAGTAGAACTGGCGCTTGCATTGAATTTCACAGAGCCTTGCTTACACAAAAGTTGCAATCATCCAATCAGAAGCCGACTTCAGTTTCGACCTCGCCTCGGTCTTAGCAACACGCCCAGCGGGAATCGAACCGTGACTGTGTAGAATGGAAGCTTGACATGTCAACCACCACGCCACATTGCCACGAGGGCCCTTGAGTCACAGGACATATGTGAATTTCAAGAAAGAACAGGCCTTATTCCATATCACATTCTTTGGTGGGATTGTCGGTTAAGCAGACGTATTTTTGCTATAAAAATCGACTGCATTACTTAATTTTCATATATATATATATATATATTTCGTTTAACGTGATGAAAGACAGATAGTAGAATTTTCCCACAATGATAAGAGTAGAGCTAACGTTTACAATGAATTCCACAGAGCCTTGCTTCCCCAAAAGTCCACCCTAAATGAGAACAACTTTTGGGAAAGCAAAGCTCTGTGAAATTGAATGGAAATGTCATTGTGGGAAAATTATTCTTCTACCAGTCCTTCATGATCTCAAACGAAATTGGATTAATACATCTCATACTACTGATTTACTGGTAGTCTCAAAACGATATTTAAATGCGAAAAATAAGAAGACACTAAAAATTGTTCGACCTTGTTTTCACAACTTGCTCGTGTTGTCGGGGCGAACCAGAGGAATTCATCTTTTCCGGAGACAACAATAGACATGATAATTTTCTGAGGAGGACCGTACAAATGGTACATTCCAAGACTTTTCCTCGGCACCGACGATGAGACTTGCCAGTCTTAGCAACACACTTCTACTCGTCAAAGAGACAAAAGAAGTCAATTCTTGGACCATTTGTCTGCTAAATTGTTGTGTTATCTCTCCTTCTTTCCTGGGATATTTACCTATCCTACATCCTCGCATCACTCCTTCACTATCACGATGCATTATATGCTCATTTAAACCCAGTTCGAATGTAAAAGTTTGAGCAAATTGAGTGTGGGAACTCATATTATTGTGGGAAAATTCTACTACCTTAAACGAAATGGGGTTAATACATCTCATATTACCGATTAACTTGTAGTCTCGAAACTCTATTCACAAACGAAAAGAAAGCAAAGTTGCTTTTCCCAAAGAAAAGGGACAATATCAACGAAGATCAGTAGAAAGTTCAATCGGCAAACAACGGAAGGCACCAATGATCGTCGTCTGGAGGAATGGATGGGAGAATATATTGCTAGTAACCTGAATAAAGGCATTTGTGAGACATTTCGCACCACGGCTGATTAATACCAAATTGTATTTGTCGTCGATTCCCTCTGAGACGACATGATATCGCGCG